TATATATTTACATAGAAATATATATTTATAACTATTTGCTATAGTTATATGTAAATATATATATAACTACTCAATATACATCTTTATAGTAAATAATATATACAGTATATATTTATAGTAAACAGTGAATTCTATTTATATATGAATGCTATATATAGATATATATATTTATAGTAAATATATAGCATGTATATTATATTTATAGTAAATAGTAAATTCTATTCTATTTAGATATTAGAAATATTAACACCTTGAAGATAAATATCAGAAGTTATAGTCTTTAGCAGAGCATTAGTTACCTTTAGACATTTTACTTTTCCAAATATCAATTAACTAATTTGGCTGCTGATTCTCACAATATTTTTAAAGACATTCCCAAATACTCAATGGCTATTAAAATATTAAGGATTTCAAAATGATATTAATTATTTATTTCATACTTTTCATACTCAAAAATTATGTTGTTTATAATATTCTGGAGATAGACAACTCCTATGATGAACTTAAATATTTATATTTCTTTTTTGAAAAAGCGATACACAATCAATAACTGACACTAGTGATAAAAGGAACATTGAAAGAAATGAAAGTAACCTAGAATTTAGCTAATTTAACTAACTGGTATAATACATTATAGGTCCTCTCTCAATTCCAAATGTCAAGGCACATGAAGAACATGGTTGGGTATGTCTGGCAGATGGCAATAATTATCCAATTGATGAATGTGAAGGACTGAGGAAAGAGTAGGATGATAGAGGTGGAAAATTTTCCCTTTGGCAAAAGATATATCCACTTTTTACTTTTCTAAAATATAAATAAAATTGAAAAAAGAAAAAATATTTCAGAGCATATGTTCTTGAAAGATTAATGCAAATCTAGGCAAAGTTCTAGGTCAATTTTGGAGTACATTAAAAATGATTATAAAAATGAGCGTGTCATGTACTCTGGATTTCCTATATTTGGAGATTTTAAGTAAAATAATTTTTCTCGAAGAAGAAAATATATATTACAGTTAAATATCATACCACAAATATTTACCTAACATTTGGCAGTTGAAATTATGTATATTCTTTTATATTTGTGTATGTGTGTGAGAGAGAGAGAGAGAGAGGAGGGAAAGAGAGAGACAATGAACCAAAATACTCCAAACTGAAAATCTTCCAACACATTTTATACCTTTCAAGTAATTAATTCTAATTCTATAGAGGAATGTTGAACCTGGTGCTTTGCTGATGTTTCTTAAGTTTGAGAAATTGCAATTGCATTCTGTCCATGTTGGCTGAAGAGAAACACGTTAGAGTAGAGTAGCATACATGGAAACAGTGCATAGAGATACAAAGTAATCAGACTCTTACTACCTGTTGAGCTATTTCAATATTTCTTTAAAATTTTAAGGCCAGGCGTGTTGGCTTACCCTTCTATCCCAGCACTTTGGGAGGCCAAATCGGGCAGATCACAAGGTCAGCAGTTTGAGACCAGCCTGACCATTATGGTGAAACCCGCCTCTACTAAAAATACAAAATTTAGCGAGGCATGATGGTGAGTGCCTGTAATCCCAGTTATTGGGGAGGCTGAGCAGGAGAATCACTTGACCCCGGGAAGCAGAGGTTGCAGTGAGCCAAGGTTGCACCACTGCACTCCAGCCTGGGCGACAGAGAGAGAGAGACTCCGTCTCAAAAAAAAAATGAGTTGGTACTCAGTCTACTAGATGCAGCGTGCTTTCTACTATTTGATGTGGATGATAGTGTTGACGTTATTTTTGAAGTCTCAGATTACTTTTGAAAAGCAACTTCATTTTCCCTTGTTTATTTATTACACAACTGCTCTCAAATAATCTGTGTTTACTATATGTAACATTTTTATTTACAATATAAAATGTAATTTTAAAGCATAGTTCAATATTCCCAGGAATTTCTTTTTGAGACTGTGTAAGTATATCACTGATTTCTCCTGCTTCATTGACTAACTGTCCATTGTTGAAATCTGTGTTCCCCTTAGCATTTATCTTATGACTACATAGTTCAGGCTGATAAATAAAAGTTTATTAAAAAATAAAGTAAATGACAGAAAGAATTGAATTCTTTGCTCACATACATATAAAATATTATGACTCAAAATTACATGGGAGATTTTTCTAAAAGTAAGTTTATATAATAAATGATCAGTGATTATAATTCAGAGGCAAGTTCTCTGCTCATTGTAGCATCATGTTCTTGAATAAAGATAAATGAGATCTTGGGAAAAGGTGCTTGAGACAAGAGTATGGTAGAGTGGTTTTAATAGATTCTCATCTTTCCTCATGAAAGTTGTCTGCTTTAAAATTAAAGCTTAGTGCCTTGCCTTAATCTCATCACAAAAGATTATATGTAAATTATGTTGTAATGAATTGATATTAGGCAACATGGGCTGCATAATTAAGTGTGAGGCTTTAACTAAAACAACATTTCCAATCTGTGATGTACAGGTACATCATTTGCAGATTTTATTTAAAAAGCGTATGCCTTTTCCTTGCTGACTCAGAATCCTTGCTAATGGGACTAAGTGTGAAAAAAAATTAACCTGTTTCCAGTATGAGTCAAATCACAGTAACATATCAAGTTTTAAGAGCAACTAGCTGAAATATTTTTGTTTATTAAGATTTAAAAGTGTAATCAATTGCTATAGAACAAAGCTTAACTTTTTTAATTGCTACACTGTCACTGAGTAGTATTAAGCATTGAAATTGTAGGTTTGCTGATAGATGTTTTATAAACGATCAATAAAATGAGCCTTTCTGAATGTGGAGTGGAATGGATGATAAGTTTATTGAATAAGTATTTGGCCATAATTGAGGTCTTGTAATATTACCCACATAAATAAACAATCTCCATCATATTATAATATTATTGTTTTCTGTGCTATATATCTGCTGAGTTTATGATGTAACAGCAAAGATAAAATGTGTCAATAAATAAATTTATTTTATTTTTAATTTATACACAGCACTTAAATTTTTCTAGCACATAGTTCAATGTGTGCAGTTCTGTAAATATTGAAAAATACATCATGTCATGTAACTACCCTACAGTCAGGACACAGAACAATCCCCTCACCACAATTAAATTTTCTTATCCTGTACCATTGCAGTCAGATCCTCTGCTTTCCCTAATCCATGGGAAATAATGATCTATTCTTAGTCTGTATACATTTGCATTTTACCAGAAGTCATGTATATGAAATCCTACAAGATGTAACTCTTTTTTTCTGGCTTCTTTCACTTAGCATACTCCTATCTAGGCGCAGACATGTTTTTGACATTCATCTGTTGTTCATTTGACTTTAATTCTGAGAGCTACTATATTGTCTGGGTGTACTAGAATGGTTATTTACTCACCCATTAAAAGATACTGGGATGTTTTCAAATTTCAGTTATTAATAAATAATGTTTGTAAGTATATTTGTAAGTTTTCGAGAGAACTTTTTTTCTCTGATGAAATACTTAGAGCAGGACTGTTAGTTCCTATGGTAAGTGTATGTCTAACTTTAAATAAAATGCAAGGAAAGCAGAATCATAAGTAATAAACTAATATATACACAGAGTGGAAGAAAGAGAAATTAGACACTGATGACATAAGTTGAGTCTTACATTTTCTAGATATTGAAGGATAGTTTACTCATAAAGAATAGTTTACTCATAAAGCTTTTTAGTTTTATGATCTACTGACTACCTCCTTTAGGGGGAGCTTAAACCAATTAAAGTTGGATTTTCTGTCACTTGCAGCCAAAAATTTCCAGATACATTACAAAATCCATTCTGGTGCACAGTTCCTATGGTGCTCAATTTAGTGTTTTTCAAACTTGCGTGATCATTAAAATCAGCTGGTGTTAATTAAAAATGCAGATTTCCAGATCACTGTCCTGAAGATTATATTTTATTAAGGTTTCTGGTTTGAAAGTGGTCCTGAAATGAGTGTTATGATCTAGAAGTATGAAAATCACCATAATAGTACAGTATTAACAATATAAAAAGCAATCAATATGCTACCATATTCCACTGACTGAATATTATATGATTCACAAAATTGCTTAGCAAACCAGTATACAACTACAGAATCCTGGAGTGCTACAGATAGAAAAACAGTAGATACAGCCTGCTCCAATAACCCATTCCTTGCAATGAGAATTTGTAGCTGAGAGAAGTCATACACATAATCCCATAGTAGCAGAACAACTACTACCACATGAGCCTCCTGCTAGTTTCAATTTATTTTGCTACCAAGCTAACATGTCTAAATTAGAAAATTATGAGAAAAAATATGTAAATAAAATGATACCGAAAAATCCAGCTTTATTCTTCATGGGTTTAGAAAAATAACTAAAAGGGCTTATAGTATGTTCTAAATTCTTGTCATACTTTTTATGAATAGGCATTCATTATTTGATCATTATAACAACAATGAATACTTTACTTTTTAAATAGACTCTAAAAGCTTATCCTAACTCATGCTGTGATTTTGTAATCATAACCTTTAATACTCATATACCACATATCTTAATTATAATAGAACATTGAGAGATGTTACTGATGAAAGGATTTTGGGTATATGTCACTCATTTTTTTAAAATGAAACATTAACACAAGAAACTGCTTGAAAAATCAAGTGATCTCAAAGTCATAGTCCCAAACAAGAAAATCATAGGGTTTTACATACCAGCTAAGAATTTTTCAAATTTATTTCCCAGCATTCTGAAAAATTTATATAAAGTAGAGTAGCTCATGAGGTTACTCATATAAGGGGTTATATAATGTCACTTGATAGATTGATAGTTCCAAAACTTCTTCACATTATAAAATAAAGCATTATGAACTGAACATCCTCATTATTCTTTCCTTCCCTTGAGTAGTCAAAATCGAATGGATTGCCTTCTATAGCTCAAATTGTTAAAAACATTATTCCATTAATGTTGCAGAAAGTGATATTTTAAATAATTTGTTTGCTTTCAAAACTCCGATATTATACACACTTTGGCAATGTGTATACTGAAATTGATGTGATACAGAAAAAATTAGCATGGTCCCTGTGCAGAGGTGACACACACACACATTTGTGAAGCATTCCATATTTTTAATCCAGTAAAATGATTCAAGATAAAATGGCCATATTAAGAAAGAATAGAACTGCTACGACAAAGATGAAAAACTACAAGAATTTCAAAACACAATCAGAAATATTAATTGCAGAATAGGCCAAGCTGAGGAAAGAATCTTATAGCCCAAAGACCAGTTTTTAAAATTAATCTAGTCAGGCAAAAATAATAATAATAATAAAGAATAAACAAAACCTCTAATAAATATAGAATTATGTAAAGAGGCAAAACCTATGACTCATTGGCATCCCTGAAGGAGAGGGAAAGAGAGTAAGCAACTTGAAAAACGTATTTGAGGATACTGTTTATGAAAATTTCCCCAACCTTGCTAGCAAGGTTAACATTTGAATTTAGGAAATTCAGAGAACCTTTGCAAGATACTATACAAGATGACCATCCGCAAGACACAGAATCATCAGAGTCTCTAAAATCATGAAAAAGAAAAATCAACAAAGGCAGCTAGAGAGAAGGGGAACGTCATCTACAAAGGGGACTCCATCAAGCTAACAGCAGAACTTCAAGCATAAACCCTACAATCCAGAAGAGATTGGGACCTACACTCAGTATCCTTAAGAAAAGTAATTCCAACCAAGAATTCTATATTAGCCAAACTAAGCTTCATAAGTGAAGGAGAAAAAAAATCTCTATCAGAAAAGCAAATGTTAAATAAATTTGTTGCCACCATACCTGCCTAACAAGAGGTTCCTAAGGGATTGCTAAACATGGATATGAAAAGTCACTACCAACCATCATAAAAACACATTTAAGTTCATAGAACATTGACACCATTAAGAAACCCCACAATCAAGTCTACATAATGATTAGCTAACAACACAATAACAGGATCAAATCCATACACATTAATATTAACCTTGAACATTAATTTCAAGAAGTAGAGCTATGAATTCTATATTAAATTTTTTTTCCTTAGTGTTTCATACCTTAGTATCTAGAGTATTATCAATCCTTCGATGTTTGGGTTTCTACATCCTATATCAAGGTTAGTGTGGACAACAGGATCTTCTCTGGCAACTTGCACACTCACTCATACCTACCAAGCTACTTTGCAGCAATCAGTGGTTTCAATGATGTTTGAAACACCTGAGTGCTTTTAGAAAGATAATCAGAACAGGACTGTGATATACAATACATTCTTATTTTAATCAAATTAAATTTGAAGATCATCACACCAATATTTTAAATTTCTTAATTGGTGTATATATTGTATAGATATAGACATAATATATATGTATTCTGCTGTACATATGTACCATACTTTCTAAGCAAATAAATGCTAAGGAAGATACATTCCAGGATTAGGAATGATAATATAAAGAAAATGAATTGAAAGCTATTAGATCTTAAACAGTTCTTACTGAATTAACTCGTTTAATTCTTACCACATATACATGAAAAAAACAGAGTATGCCAGGTGGTTTTGCAATTTATCATCCTCTTTTTATTTTGTTAAATGTCTTCTTTTTGTAGTTTTAGGATGAGTGTTGGCAGGCTAAGGTGCAGGGAATTATTTTTCATTTAATAATAATTGGAAGATTATTGAATCTTCCTTTCCAGCCAAACAATCCCTTCCTCTGAAAATTAAAAAATAAGATAATAAACACCTGCATTTTTCAAGGCTAATGTTTAAGGAGAAACCAAATTTCCACTATTAGTTTTGAGAGCATCAAATGAAGCTTGCAATCTTTTAAAGAAATGTAATCAATAAGTTAAAATGATAAAAAATGATATTATAATCACTCAAAATTCTTAATGTAAGGTCCATTAGTAAAAACAAATAACTTCTTAATCATACCACTAGGACAAGGCCAATTGACTCCTTCTACTCATTAATATGTAATAATTTAGCAGAAACATTTCATCATTTCCATAGTAAAGAATTGTAATTCTTACCAATGGCTAATAATCAATATAATTTAGTTAAGAAAAAAGCACAAGCAAATCTGGGTCCAAATAAATGTCAATTCAATTCAAGTAAGAACAGAAACGCATATATGTATAGAGGAAATTTCTTTAATTGTGTAGTTGCTACTAATTAGTATAGGCTTTATTAGATAGAAATGTGAACTGTATCATTGATAACAATTAAAAAATGGATGGGTAGAGTAGAAAAAAAGGAAACCTAGATATAATAGACGTTACTGTATTTACAGCATGAAAGGCATAGGGTTGTAGTGCCAAGTTAGGGATTATGGTATGCAATGCTCCTTCCTAGAAATATGTTCTGTTCTTTGATATAAGAAACATGTTCATACAAACTCTTCATGTGATTCTACAACTTATAAACCAATAATTTGTTGTTAATATATTACTCTTTAATTTACTAATAGCAATAATAGCAATATTCATAACTTGTGGCCTTGATCTAAGAATCCTGGTTTCTAAGGTATGTAAATGAATGGTTCAAATACAGCTTGTGACTTTTTATGCCTGGTAACGTTCTGCTTACCAGACACAGCTGGTGCTTCACCAGTTTCTACAAGTAGTGACATTGGAAAGCAGAATATTTTGCCTATAAAATACCTTGTAAATATTCACAGACATTTGGTGATTATTCTCAGAAATTAAAACAAAAACACTTTAATACAACTTTTATTCCATGGGAAACAACATATTCAAGCATTAACTAATCGTATTGATACAAGATACTGTCCTGCAGTTGTAATGAAGATGTACTCAAAAACAACTTACCAAATAATCAGTTATTGAAATCTTTTGCCATTAAATTAATTGACCTTGAAACAGATCATTTATTAATGAAATAAGAGAAAATGTATTATGTGGATTTTCTTCCTTAATTCTAGTAACCACCCAAAGCTGACAAGCTTAATATGACTTTTTCTAATAGTATGTGGCTTCATATAGTCTATGATTATTTGCACTACTATTAGAAAACAATGATCTCTTTTCCTTCTTTCATAAGTGTTTTTCAGCATTAAAATGACAGTACAGTGTAGAGTTTAAAATTTTTTCCATATCTCGGAAGTATGTTATATTTTGTCAATTTTATCAGCATGCTTCGTTGTAAAAATAGTTCCTTAAGTGTAAGAATTTCTTTCTTCATTAGAACAAAAATAACGGTGAGCCAAGATCGCGCCATTGCACTCCAGCCTGGGTAACAAGAGCGAAACTCTGTCTCAAAAAAAATAAGTAAATAAAAATAAAAATAAAATAAAAAACTCGGTAGCAAATAAGAAATAATTATTTTAGAATATTAATATAAAGTCATTTACAAACACAGATTAACACAAGTATACTATACTGGCATCTAAAAGCTCTCGGATAGTTTTGCCATGAGTGTTATGATTTCTAACATATACAACTACTCTTGGTAAATTTGGAACCAACTGGAATACAATACCTTCTAATTTTACTTGTTAGATTTATTTCTAGAACATTCGATATTATTAAAACCAGAAGAAAAGCATTTTGTGTGAATTTACATTTTAAAATATAACTTTTAAATAATTTTTTCATGTATATATATATTTATCAAGGCATTTGAAAGATAAGTGAGAAGTGAAAACATTGTTTCTTACTAAAAGGTGTGCTACACATAGCAGAATGCCTTGTTTCTGTAGTACTAACACATTAAATGCCAGCATCACCATCTTATCACTGAAACAAAAAGGCTCCCCAATTTAGATAATGTTCTTTAAAAATTGCACTGCCCCAATGAGAGTCACATTAGACCATGGCCTCTTAATCTATCCTGTGTGTTGCCTGAAGCACCATATTGATCATATCATGACTCTACTTAATATTTATAAGATAAACTGCAAATTCCAATATCTTCCATCATCTTGCTCCAAACCCAACTCAGAATTTGTCTCTGTCAAGATACTTTATCTTAATGCTTCCATTCATGAAGCACTCTTACTCATTTGAACCCATACTTTTTCTTTACATGGCATTTATGCTGTTCTACACTTTACTTCTTTATATGTGTCTCTACTTTTATTTTTAACATTATGTGGATTTGGTATAGATGAATCGTTCATTCTAATTGGTGTGTTCAGAAATTTTAGTCATTAGAAATAAATAACATAAATAAAATATTCTATGCTATAAATATTATTCGTACACTTACATTCAAAAATAGAATAATATTTAGGTATTAAGAAAACATTCTCTCATTAAAATCTTTTAGGACTACAGTTCATTCTAAAGCTCAAATAACAAGAAGAAAAATATAAAAATCCTTTTCATATATTCAATTGCATTTGATTATTGACAATTTAATCAATAAATTTGCTTGGTTCTCAGATTATTTTTAATTAGAGAGTCATATTCTCACTGAACTCCTAAATTTTTCACTGCATTTTCCCTGGTTCAAAAGTTACAAGAAAGAGATTTATGGCTAATAAAAAAAAATAGAATCTTTTAGAATGAGGCTGAGACTGTACATTTGCAGCTGAATCAAAATGATCTATATAACTTTCAATAGGGCCAATTTGCTACAAAGTTTGCAAGATTCTTTAAATGACAAAGAAGCTAGATGTCACAGTTCCAGTTATTGAGGGCACAACATGCATAAGTCACAGTAAATTGGGTTTGTAAAAACATTTATTTTAAAGTGATCTACATGGAAATGTAGACTTAGCCAAAGAGACTTGTTAAATTTGCTCAAGCCCAGAGATTTTCCTATTAAAGGATAATGTGCTCTTCATGTTATATATAAATCTTTGGACTAACAGCAAAAATATACCTTGCTTTATGTTTATTAAAGAAAATGTAAATGAATAAGCAATTAGAGAACTGAGAGCAAATACTCTCTACTAAAAATACAAAAATTAGATGGGCATGGTGCCTGTGCCTGTAAGTTCTAGGTACTTGGGGGACTGAGGCAGGAGAATCCCTTGAACCAGGGATGCATGGTTTGCAGTGAGCGGAGATTGCACCACCGTACTCCAGCCTGGTGACACAGCAAGATTTCCATCTCATAAATAAATAAACAAATAA